CAAAGATATTTGGAAAATCCTAGAAAACTCACAATTAAACAAAACATTTCTAAATTACCCAAAACTTTCCTTGTATTCATCAGAGAGCTAAAGTCACAAGGTAACCAAGTAGCCTGAATTCCAAGGATGGACAGATACATCCAAAGAAAAACAGGATGCCAGAAATGTGTCACCATGGCACAGCAAGAGGAAGATACCACTATTGTACAAGCAGCGAAGAAGAAATCAGCAATTTTTAAGAAATTGCTTAAGGCTGAGTATGGGATAACTTGACAGTATAAAACCCCTGGAAGTCCCAGATAGTTCTGCACTCACTCAGACTCTTGCCACAGATCTCTACTGAGTACCCATGACGATGACTAGAAACAGGGCTGGAGATCAAGAGCCTCTCTCAGTGGGGCAAGGAATCGGCTGCCACTGAGAAAAATGAACAAGGCCCACCACCCTGCCCAGATCCTTCTCTTGCATAGAGCAAAAGCTTTAAGCAACTGAAGAAAGGGAAGCAAATTCCATGCCTTGTTGCTGGAGGAGGGGGAAAAACCCTCAATCCTTGGGAAGCAGAGTGATAAGAACAGTCCTGAGCCCAGAATCCTCTGTCAATAGGACTAGAAGAAGCACCCTACTGTGGGTGGTGGGAGAAGAAACTCTGAGAAAATCCTACCCCTGAGGCCCAAGCACACATATATCTACTCAAGACCGAAACTATACCACAACAACAAAAAACCTTTTCTACCCCCTTCTCCTCTACCAATCTTGAAAGCACTAAGTAAGAAGCAACACCAGTTTATTACTGAGGAGGGGCAAGAGTGAGGAGAGAAACCTCTCTGTGGAGCAGGCATGTAGAGCAGAGCACAAACACTGACAAAAAAACCTTTGACATTTCACCTCTATCCTAAGTATCATGCAACATTAGGGGAATCTAAGGTCTCTAGTGCAATGAAGGTACTACAGCAAACTAAAAACTCAATCTCAGTTTAACTCCAGATTAGATTTGCTTAAATGCGTACATTAACAGCCACATAAGAGGCGCACTCATTTACAGTATTTAAATTTAATTATGTAAGCTACTACTATTTTACAGGCAATCAAAAATTATGAGATATATCAAAAAGCAAGTAAGTAAAATAAAACAAACAAAAACCACATTAAAAACTTCTAGAGACACAGCAATAATCAAAGCCAGACTCAGAGATGACCCAGATGTTGGAGAGAGAAAACAGGGGCTTCAAGGAAAATATTTTTAACTTAATGAAGATAAAAACATAATACATCAAAATTTGTGGAATGCTGGTAAAGAAGGGCATAGGAGAAAACTTATAGCATTAAATGGTCATGTTAAAAAAAAGTCTAAAATCAATAATTTAATAAGCCTCTGCTTTAAGAACCTAGAAAATGATGATCAAATTAAGGATAAATCAAGTACAGAGAAGGAAATAAAGATAAGAGCAGAAATTGATGAAAGAGAAAACAGAAAAACACTAGAGAAAAATCAGTGAAAGCAAATGTGTTTTATGAGAAGATCAATAAAACTGACATGGCTCTAGCCAGATTGAACACGACAAAAAGAGAGAAGACACAAACTACCACTATCAGGAATGAAAGAGATGACACATTATCACTTAGGTATCTTACCAAAACTGACTCAAGAAAAAACAGAAAACAGAAATTACACTCTGTTTATTTTTCAAATTTAGTATTAAATTTTAAAATTTCCCAAA